GACCTCTTTTTATACTGTATATATATATATATATATATATATATATATATATATATATATATATATATATATATATATATATATATATATATATATATATATATATATATATATATAGGCAGGCATGGTGGTTGAGTGGCCGTAGCGTTGCATATAGTCCAGTAGATCCTCCGTGAGCGGTCACAACGTTGTTTATTTCGACGTTTCGGCCTAGAGTCTGGCCTTCATCAGAATCCTGATGAAGGCCACACTCTAGGCCGAAACGTCGAAATAAACGACGTTGTGACCACTCACGGAGGATCTACTGGACTATATATATATGTATATATATATATATATATATATATATATATATATATATATATATATATATATATTTTTTTTCCGGTCGTCCCGCGTACAGTCGGCCAAATCTTTAGCTATCGTGCATGAGTGGCAGTTTTTTCTTTGTACCTTTGCCATACGACTAAATTAAGCTTCACTTGATTGATTGATATGTGGGGTTGAACGTCCCAAATCCATCATATGATTATGAGAGACGCCCTAGTGGAGGGCTCTGGAAATTTCGACCGCCTGCGGTTCTTTAACGTGAAAGTTTCAGTTGAATTAAGGAAAAGTGTATGCCCATAAAGCGCATGTCCACGAAGCAATTTTTTAACTCGTTTCATATTATGGCACTGACAGGCAAAAAAAGTGGCCGTTGCGCACAATTAATAGCTGTTTTGGCCGACTGCATATTCTGGATGACACGCTGAAACAAACTAACTTCAGGAAGATTCCCAATCGTTTTATACTTAAGAAAAAGTCAACAAGACAGAGATAATTCTCAGCTGTTATTTTTCATTTATGTTTTGTGGTTTAACGCACCCCACTACATGCTAACACTTATTCGTTTCTACAAATGCGAAAAGAAATTAACTGAGCTAGAAGAAAAGAACTGAGAATCCCAACCTCACGCATGGCTGGCAGCTGGTTTTAGGAGCCAGACAGTCCTCTCTGAAGAACTTCTTTAGAGAATGAAGAACGCGCATTTTTCTGTAGATTCCTAAGACTAATTGCCAAAACATTGTTTAAGTCTGACTCTTGGCTATTTGGGAACCGTTTTTTTTTAATAATGTGTCGAATACGACAATTGGCTGAAATTGATTTTGCGAAAAAAAAATTGAATTAAGCGTAATAAATTTCTCTGCGAATACGCGTAGTCATCGTTCGAAAGTGCCCTTGGCTATGGGATAGGTCATAGTTAATAATAATAATATTTTTAACGTTAGGACTCACTATAAAGTTTTATCTGATGTGAACAGCTATTCCAGCCTACCAAGGGCATAATTCAGATGTGGCTTCTTCCTGAACTGCCGGTTGTCATTGTCCATATACCCTCGCCGTGTATTCAACAACGGCATTGCCTGATATCTTACCTTGCGAACACAAATCTAGCGTAAGATAATTTTTTGTGAACATATGCCGAAATGTTTAACGAGAAAGCCCCGCCTCTCTTTTTTGTTGTTGTGTCCGTTGTCTGATTTGTTTGTTAATTAGTTAGTTAATTTGTTTGTTAGTTTGTTTCTTTAGTTTTTGTTTGTTTGTTCTGTATATGGCGCATATACACTCTGAAGGATCGACCAGGGAGGCCTAGCTAGAGTAGCCTTTCGGTGAGAACTACACTACAGCTCAATATTATATTTGAAAAAACGATTAATAATTTAGTATGGAAAAATAATGTAAAAATTTGCAAAGAGAGCGAGTATGAAGGCAATTACAGCAAATAATGAAGTTCTGAAGTCTTTAGCACCATAATTCTTCCTTATGTGAATCCACAAAGGGCCCACTACGCATTCGTGAGGCAATGCAACTGCTCAATTAATGTTTTTGATACTGATGATTGAATATTTCTGAGCGCTTTGGGATTGGTGGCCCTTTAATACACTCACTCGTTGCACAATTAACATGTTTTGACCCTTGGGATGTGGGATTCCACGCTTCTGCCGAGCATTGTTACATGCGTTAAGGAGACTCCTTCCACTGTACGGCACCCATAAAGTTTTTTTGTTTGTTTGAAACAGCTTCAAGGAGTGGCGTGACTTAGTCGTAGAACAGCTGCTTGACACGCAGCAGACCTGGGTTTTATTCTCACTCAAACCGAGGGGGAGGGGGGGGGTATTTTATTTTCAGTTTTTTTTTTTTGGTCGTGGGCAACACTGATTTTTCGCTCAAAGTCAACGACGCCGACACCAGCGTAGAGCACCAGAATTTCTGCGAAAGGAGTTCTTTAATGCTATCTCGTTAAAAACACGAGCACCCGGAAGAAACTCGAGACACAAATGCTATAAACATTTTGTACAACTATAAACGTTTAGAAAGATAAAGTTTTGGTGATTCTTGATTATGGACATGTAATGTATAGTGAAGTCTGTGACAGAGCATTTACAAACAAAAAGTTCTGTTTAATTCTGCGCGAGGCGTTTCCTCCGCTGCTTTTGTAACAAAAGCAAGCAGGTGGTTTGGAGCGCTTCAGAATGCGGTAAACCACAGCAAAACGTTACCTGGCACAGGCAAAAAGTTTGTGGGGCAAAAACAAGAAAATTATTGTGTCACCC